TACCGTATAGATCAGATCAGATCAGTTCAGTTCAGTTCAGTTCAATATGCACAGTATGAAATGTGGCTTTCAGCCAATCGCGAGTCCAGATAGTTGTGTTGTTGGCGGGTGTTTATAGCTTTCAACACTGCGTAGTGCCAATTCCAGCGATCGACCTTTGATGCGTCTAGTTGCCTTTGTCCTCAGTATACGTTCCCAGCAGGGTGTTTCTGAAAATAGACAGATGAGACTCAACGGTCTAGGCCTAGGCCAAGCTACCATAGGTTAGTATGAATGACCCTGATCCTGACCACTGACACCTGGCGGAATTGTCATAAAATGTCAAATGTTGGCACCTGGTACATTCACAGAAAATACCTAACAGGAAACACCTTGCTCTAGCATACATCCACATCTGTAACATCAAACCTTACCGGCTAGCTCCTTACTCCTTAGTAGGCCTCATCTGGGTAGAATGTTCTCTAACACTCATTCAGGGCGGTCTGGAATTCCATTACAGTGCTGCATCTGACCACGTGTTCTGGCAGCCTATTCCACAGTGAGATCACCCTGTTGGTGAAGAACCTTGCCCGGAGTTGCAGTCTATTGTAATGATGCTGGAGTCTGAAGCTATGCCCCCTGGTGCCACTTTCCGGGATCGCAGAGAATAGTTCCTCGCTTTTGATACCCGTCAGACCATTATTATTTTAAATGAAGTCACCCCTCATGCGTCTGCGTCGAAGGGAAAACAAGTAAAAGTCCTTAAGTCCTTAAGATCAGGTTCCACGACTTGCGGCTTGAGCAAACAAGAGTCCAGTTTCTTGCTCGAATGGGCGTGAGTTTCCCCCCGTGCATCAACCGTCCTGTAATCCAGTGTTTGGTTCACCAAAAGTGCTTTGCTGGTCCACGGATTGCAATGTACAATATCGGGTTCAATTCTGGAACAAGCACTCGACTCACGATCAGCAACGAATAAATTGACTGCGTCTAGCACCGTTACACACTGCTAGGCAAGCCCTTATATCGACAGACTATAGAGTAAAACCAGGCTAAGGGAAGCGGAAGGCTAAGGGTGAAGTTGTGGTACGATAATAATACGAATAATGATAATAATAATGAAGGAAGTAAGAAAGCCTCTAGAAAAGAAGGGGTGTGTAATAGAGGGATGAAGCAAGAAAGCAAGGTCCCAGAATCAGATAAGGTCGGGGAACATGGCAGCTCAGCTCTAGTCCAGTCTGGCCTTGAACTGCACTACAGTCTGGGCTGAGACTAGCTCCGCTGGGAGACTGTTCTACACGTTTACCACCCTACGGGAGAAGAAGTTCGCCCTTATGCTCTTCAGATCTCTGGGTTTGCTCAATTTCAATCCGTTGCTGCTGAGGGAAGGGTGGTTATCTATACTGAGTAGTGGGGGGGCTCCCGTGCCGGTGATTCCTTTCAGGAGCTAGAAGGTCTGTATAAGATCCCCCTCAACCTTCCCCTTCCAAAGGAAAGTCCTAACCTCTCCAATCTCTGTGTGTACGTCAACCCTTGGACACCCGGAGAAATTTCGTGAATCTCCTTTGTATCCTTTCGAGCGTGTTCATGTCTCCAACTTTAGTTGGCGTCCATGCCTGGACTCCATACTCTAAGTGGGGACGACCAAACGCCTTGTACAGTGGAAGCAGCACTACTGGGTCCCTGGATGCAACAGTGCGTCGCAATTGGAACAATGCCATTTCACCCTTCCCAGTAGCCTCAGCACATTGCGGTGACGGCTTGAAGGACTGATGGATAAGCACCCCTAGGTTCTTCATTCCCTCTGTGCGCTGAATTACCAGGGGGTTATCAAGGTTGAGGTAGCATACTACAAGGAAACCGCCAGACATTAAGTTCCTGCACTTGCCGGCGTTTAGTGGTAGGCCCCTGTCCACGAACCAGTGATAGAGGGTGTCTAAGTACTGCTGTACGACATCCCCGGTTGGCCTACCTACAATTTTAGCTTTGTCAGCAAATAGGAAGCACGTCGACTGTATCCTTTGAGCTAGATCGTTAACAAAGATTATGAACAGCAAGGGCCCAAGTACCGATCCCTGTGGTACCCTACTGCAGGCTAAGGTAGAGGTAGATCTAGACTCTTCTACTTTCACGCAGAAGTTTCGCCCACTTAGGTAGTCTCATATCCAGTCTATCACCCCGGGAGCAACTCGCAGGTTCCTTAACTTGATTAAAAGCAACCGATGGTTGACCGAGTCAAAGCCTTCTGGAAATCCAGATAGCAGAATCAACAGGGTCACCACGGTCTAGCCTGACAGTAACCTCGTCCAGGAAGGACAGCAAATTCGTCGAGATTTATGAGTTCTACAGCTACCTGAACACTGGTGATATACTGCTGGGGCATTTTCTGTATAAGGCCCTCGGTCTTTTCGCTAGCTGTTATGGCCAGGGTGCCCGGGGACAGTTCAGTACTACCTACTGACTCCCTGAGCTTGCCCTTAGACTGCAAGTAGTTGAATTAAGCTTTAGGACATGCTTTGGCACGTCTTGCAAGCGCTGCTTCATAATAATAATAATAATAATAATAATGTATATTTCACGAAACCCGTGAAGCATGCACAAGGCATGATCATATGTACAACGACAGAACAGGTAAATGGATAAACTACTTGGGAGACATACCTACTGGAGATGGTATGGGAGCGAAACGAAAACGCTGTTTAAACGGAACACAGAGCGGACAAGGTCACAAACGATGGTGTAGAGGATGGAGAAATGTGCAGTATAAGCAAATCAATCGGAATTGAAGTCACTGTTAACCCGTAATCGAGGGGATTCGGCGTGCAGCTCTAATGGGAGAAGATACGGAGAGGCAAAATGTCGGAGGAAGGACGAGGAAAATGGAGTCACAAGGAAATGAATAAATAGGAAGGAGTACAACGAGTTCAAAACGTTTGCCTGGATGTGGACGCATGCAGAAAGATCCGTCAAAACAGCTATGCCCAGAATCCACTGCCTGGGTCAGAAATTTTCATTGTGGGTTTAAACTCCAAGCCTTCGACAGGTCCAAGCCAACCGAATCTGGAATAAGAGAGTCGTACTGAACAGTCTGGGGTAACACCCAGCTGAGAAGGGATAAGGGAAGAGACAGCATGTCACAAGTCAATCGGCAAATTAATGATAATAATAATAATAAAATATTTTGCACGAAGCCAAGATGGAATGTGTTCCACAGATACAGCTTTCAAGTTGAATCGGTGTACTGATAGAGATTCTGTTTAGAAAGTGGTCACAGGCACCTGGTTTGCATGTGCCACGAAGTTGAGTCAACAAATTCGAGCGAAAAGGTGGTGAGGAGTAATTCAAATAGTAAATAAGTGGTCACAATACTTT